GGTTGAGATAAGGTTGCCTTCCAAGCAACTGAAAAGGTCCCAAGATCATTCTATATGTTTCCCCAAGCATGGAACATTGAATTCTCGGACCATCTTCCTGGTGGAGCTTCCTTTGTGAGCGTGCATCACGTTTGCACCAATGCAAGCGTGGGTGAATGCGCACTTCTGTAGGGACATCCCGAATTAAACAACGTAGCTCTGCTGCGAGGCTGCAGAGCACTTCCGATTGCTACCACCCAGAAGATGCAAAATGAATGCAATAAGCTTATCTAAGCTGAGTGCAAAATATCTAAGCTTCTTGATAGATAGAGTCTACTGGTGCCCTACATACTCTGGAACACGTGCCATGAGATGGCTAAAACAAGAGTTACGGCGACATCCTCGGATATGTGTATTCATCGAACTCTCCATTTGGAAAGCACCTAAATGACCGTAAGTTTCCCTAAAAATCTATAGGGGCTAGAAGCTACTAGGGGCTCCTGGCATCGCTACTAGGAGCAAAGAAGCTGCTAGGGGCTCCTGGCCGTACTACTAGTAGCATTCTTGCTACTAGGAGCAAAGGGCATTTCTACTAGGAGCAAGGACGCTACTAGGACCTCCGTCAGGCGGGGGGAGCTTCCTTGAAGAAGCTTGAGCTATCCTGCGTCCATGTCTAGTAGCTTGAGTAGCTGGTAGCTTACCTCCTTACTTAATGAAGTAGGCGCCCACTTAATCAAGTAGGAGCGGCCCCTAAAAAGAAAGCCGACAAGACTAGTAGTAACAGGTGCCTTACTAGTAGTAACAAGAAGCTATTAACTTAAATAAAGCCGACAAGACATGTCAGAGTGCTTTTCGGGGCCTCGCCCAGTTTGCATTCGGCTCCCAAAAGTCCACCTTTCATGTGGTTCAAAGGCACCTCGCCCAGCGCAAGACGGCTAAACGGCCAAAGAAGAGTCGCAAAAAGCATAAGAGCGAAGACTTCCAAGACTGAAGGCTTCTCTACATGGTTGAAAGTGCAGAAGTGAGTAGAACGTGAGTAATGAACACCTTGGATAAGGAAGCACAGACCAACAACTACCAGGGCCAAGAAGCAAAGCGCATGAAAGTGCTTTGCTTATTCCACATACCTGAGGCCTAAATTTACTAGGAGCAAGGACGCTACTAGGGGGGGGTCCTGGCATCGCTACTAGGAGCAAGGACGCTACTAGGAGCTCCTGACATTACTACTAGGAACAAGAAGCTACTAGGAACAAGTGCATCGCATATAGTAACAAGTGCCTTACTAGTAGTAACAAGAAGCTAGTAGGAACAAGTGCCACGCTATTAGTAACAAGTGCATCGCTAGTAGTAACAAGTGCCTTACTAGTAGTAACAAGGGCATTGCTACGAACGGAACAATTTCGTTTCATGAAGCGGTTCTTTTCCGAGCTTCCGAGCTGGCACGATCGGACTGCACCAAACACATCGTCTCTTGTCAGATTTCAGCCTGCATTCAGAACCAATTGGTGGCATCGCATCCAACCTAAAAGCTTCTTGCTAGCAATGCCCTTTGTTACTAGTAGCGTTCTTGTTCCTAGTAGCAAGGCCAGGAGCCCCTAGTAGCGCCCTTGCTCCTACTAGCGATGGCTCCTGGCTACCTGTTTTCATTCTGTTTGACTTTGCAATCGTATTGTCATTTGCAAAAATTGCAAATTGATCCAGGCTGCCCCGACGTTTGCTGCAGGCACGACGGAAGGACCTTTTTTTTGCAGGTCGATGGTCGCCTGCACTTGTAATCTGAAACTTTAAAGCGTGTCACTCTGAACAGTATACCCCTGACAAAATTATTTACCGTATAGGTTGGAGGCCATCGCTACTAGGTCCCTTTTGCTATTAAGTTCCTTTTACATGTAAAAACCGTCTACCCCTGACAAAAGCACAGGCTGCACACGAGACGCCTCACCAACATCTGCAGGCCGACCAGAAAATTGAAAAAATCCCAGCCTTGAGACGCACGTATAAGCGAGTGTGTGTGTGTGTTTAAGGGGGGGTAGGCCGCGGATAGCTCACAGTAATGATTTGGTTCCTAGATTTTTAGGGAAACTTAACTAAAGCAAGTTTCCCATAAAGGAGTCTTCCTGTTGGAGATTTCTTGTTAGAAGTTGTCTGGTCAACAACAATGCTTCAGGCATTCCTGACCGAAAAAGGAAAGACAGAACAAAGAGAAAACCAAAAGCAAAAAAAAACAGTTTTCGTGTTTTTTGCTTGATCTTGCTCCTACAAGATTGGAGTCAGGCATTCCTGAAAAGGATCACAACTTCTTGACAGGCGACTGGTGTTTTCGTTTTGTCAATCAAGCTCCCTGCTGCGTATCACTGATGACCCGAAGCCGAAGTTTCAAACCGGGGCTGGTGAGATCCTGGCATCAAGTCATGAATTCTCGGGACGACAATCCAAGGACGCACTCTGCAAAAACCTCTTGAAAACCTTGACGATATGATAACAGTGGATCAACCTGAATCAACTTGAACCTACATTGAACATGTTGCATGAACATGGCTACTTCCCTTCCCAACTGCTTGGAAGCACTGTGGCAAACAGACCGAATTCGTCCACCTCCGTGGTCACAGTGAAAGTGAACATCTCATCGAAACGCCAGGGATACTCTGTGCCCGCCGCCTGTAGACCAAGGCGCGGATGTAAATCTCGCCTAGTAGCGTCCTTGTTCCTAGTAGTAAGGCCAGGAGCCCCTAGTAGCTTCTTCTAATTCAATTTAAGTCTAATTCCAAGTCAAATTTAATTCTAATTCCAATTTAATTCTAAGTCCAATTCTAATTTAGCTTAGTTCTAATTCCAATTCTAATTCTAATTTAATTCTAGGTCTAATTTAACTATAATTCCAATTTAAGTATAATTCAAATCTAGTTATAGTTCTAATTTAATTCAAATTCCAATTTAGCTTAATTCTAATTTAATTTAACTCTAATTTGACTTATTATCATTCTAATTTAATTCTAATTCTATATTACTTCCAGTTCTAATTTAATTATAAGTCCAATTTAATTCTAATTCTAGTTCTAGTTTAGTTCTAATTCTAGTTTGATTCTAAGTCTAATGTAACTTAATTCTAATTCTAATTGAATTCTAAGTCTAATTTAACCAATCCCAATTAAGACTTAAATTAATTCTAATTCTAATTTAATTAGAACTTAAGTTAATCCTAAGTCTAATTTAACTTAATTCTGTTACTTTACTTGTAAGTCTAAGTTAGCTTGATTCTAATTATAATTCTAATTTTCTTCTAATTCCAATTTAGTTCTAAGTCAAATTTAGTTTAACTCTAACTTACGTTAATTTTAAGTCTAGTTTAGTTTAATTCTAATTCTAATTCCAATTTAATTCTAGTTCAAATTTAATTCAAAAACTACTTTAACTTAATTCCAATTCAAACTTAATGCTAATTCTAATTCTAATTTAATTCTAATTTTATTTTAATTCTACGTCTAAGTAACTTAAATCTAACTTACTTTAATTCTACCTCTAATTTAGTTTAGTTCGAATTCTAATTCCAATAATTCCAATTTAATTCTAATTCCAATGTATTTCTAATTCTAATTTAAGTCTAATTCTAATTCTAATTGAATTCTAAGTCTAATTTATGTCTAATTCCAATTCTAAGTTAATTCTAATTCTAATCTAAGTCTAATTCTAAGTGTCATTCAATTCTAAAACTAATCTAACTTAATTCTAATTCTAATTGAATTCTAATTCTAATTAAATTCTAATGTACTTTCATTCTAAGTCTAATTTGATTCAAGTTTTATTTTAATCAATGTCTAAAATTAAATTACAATTAAATAAACTAAATTGAAGTTAGATTAGAATCAAAATTAATCTAAATTAGATTAGAATTAAGTTACATTAGAATTATACTAAATTAGAACTACATTAAACTAGAATTAAATTGAAGTTGAATTGAATCAGAATTAAGTCAAATTAGACATATATTATATTAGAATTAAAATAGAATAGCATTAGATTACATTATCTAATTCCAATTTAAGTTAATTCTAATTCAAGGTTTAATTTAGTTTAATTCTAATTCGCTCCTAGTAGTAAGGCCAGGAGCCCCTATTAGCGGCTTAGCGATGCCCTTGTTACATCTTGTTACTAGTAGCGATGCCCATTGCTCCTAGCATCCGCACCTTCTCCGACCTGCTGCTGTTCGGATTGTAATCAGCCGGCTCCGTCTCCTTCCGTCATGTGAAAACAAGATGGAAAAAAAGAGTGATAATGAAGAACTAGTAGTAACAAGTGCCACGCTACTAGTAACAAGTGCCTTACTAGTAGTAACAATAAGAATTTAATTAGAATTGTAATTACTAGCAAAGGAATCTACTAGGACCTTTTCGCGCGCGCGAGCCGGGGGGGTAGGAAGCTACTAGGAACAAGTGCCACCCTACTAGGAACAGGTGCCTTACTAGTAGTCACAAGAAGCTAGTAGTAACAATGAAGAACGGAAAAGTTTTCATAACTCCCAAACGACATCCTTCGGTATGTTTTTCATCCGGTGTTTTCTAAAAGGCACCTAAGTGCAAGCGCCCTTTGTTCCTAGTAGCGTCCGATCGCTCCTAGTAGCGATGCCCTTTGCTCCTAGTAGCTTCTTGTTACTAATAGCCATGGCCTCCACCCTATACGGTAAATAGTTCAGAAATAGTTGGCAACATCTTCTCACGCACAAAGCTCTACATGATCGACTATTTTTTGTGCGTGCTTTTCGCTTCTGGCTCTCGAATGTGTTGATCACGTTGATCTCCTTCTGTGCAGAACCGAGGTTAAGTTGGAGGAAGGGGCCTCACTTTGCAAAGGCATCTCTCCACTCTGGCATTCCTCTAGAAGTCTTTCTTGCTGTCTCTGTGCTTTGTTAGCCTGGTGAGAATGTACCTGTTTGACTCCAATGATTCTGTTTTTCTTTGTCACTACTGCTGGGACGGAATGGATAATTTGTTCCAAAGGCACAGCTTCTAAGTACAATGGTGCCTTCAATCAACATCTGCACCCAAAGAAATGCAGCAAAATCCAGCGTCCCATGCACCGCACCGTCTGCTCTGCATGCTGAGTCCAGCGCGGCTGCGAGTGAAGCTCCCCGGCGCGGACAGGCCGGGCAGCGAGGCTGAGAGCACCTTAACGAAAACCAAATGCGTCAAACGAAAACCAAACGAAAACGTAATTCATCAGATTCGGAATCTCATTTCTTTCTATTTCTACTAGGAGCGATCGGACGCTACTAGGAGATACTAGGGGCTCCTGGCCTTACTACTAGGAACAAGAAGCTACTAGGGGCTCCTGGCATCGCTACTAGGAGCAAGGACGCCACTAATTTGGATGTCTGAAATTGGGCAAATGTCTCAAGGCCCAAGCGCGCACTGAAAGCTTACATGCAGGAGCCTTGGTGTTGGCAAAGTGAGGCACCTGCACCTGGCCCAGGTACTGAGGAGGGCAAAAGGTTGCTGATACCTTGCTATGTAGGACAAGCTACTAGGAGCAAAGGGCATCGCTACTAGGAGCAAGAAGCTACTAGTAGCTCCTCGACGTACTACTAGCAACAAGAAGCTACTAGTAGCAAAGGGCGCTTGCACTCAGGGGGGAGGCCATCGCTGATAGGGTGGAGGCCATCGCTACTCAGGTGTGCTTTGAACACCTTTTTCCGCGCACAGCGACCAGTCCTGCAACAAGGGAAGGCTGTTGGAACGCTGTTCAGCTGCATTTGCCATGGTTCAAGGGAAGAGCCCGCTCCCTCTAGTAACGATCTCTAGTGCGTAAGTAAAGGTCAAGACACATTTCAGTTTTTGAGTGTTTGGAATGTCAGGGGTCTCAACCTGTGTAGAGACCAAGTCGTGGTCCTCTTGCAACTCCTCTGTAACAATTGGCGTCAAATCTTCCCGGTTCACATGAAACCTGGAGAGCGTAGGGTGCCAATGAACAAGTGCATCGCTACTAGTAACAAGTGCCTTACTGGTAGTAACAAGAAGCTACTAGGAACAAGTGCCTTACTACTAGTCACAAAAAGAATTTAATTAGAATTGTAATTACTAGCAAAGGAATCTACTAGGACCTCTTAGCATAGGGTGCCAATGTCCATCTGCAACATGTCTTATTGCACCTGTAATGGATCTCTTGGAAGACCTCGACGTGCTTCTCCAGGACGTAGCCCAGACTCTCGAAGAGCTTCTGAGATGCCACATTTTCATCCTGAGGAAAGCAATCTTCGAGCGCCCGCTCGAAGTCTGCGTATGCTAAGACTTTCAGAAACCAGACGTGGCTGGACCTGTGGTTTGCAAGTACACATCAGTCAACGTCCCAGCATAAAACTTCATTCAAATTCAGGCCCCCAATGCCTTGATCTTCGCCAGAAATTGCTTCGTGCCGAGAAATTGTGCGGCAAAGGCCTGGACCAACCAAAACGAATTAATCTGTAGCGAAAATATGCCAAATGCAATTGAATTCTATTTTTTGTCTTTTTACGTTGGAGGCCAGCGTTATTTAAATAAAAACATGCAGTGACTTGGTGGTGGCCGCCTGCATCAGTTGCACGGCCTCGCGCGCAATGCCCTTACGGCGACTCTCGGGGGCTGCAACCATGACCTCCACGTGGGCGGCTTCGGCTTCCCCGACGAATTGGTCAAAGCGAGACCTTCACACCTCACTCCCTCTCCCACTGAAAGGTCTGGAATCTGCAATGCCCAGTACAACGCTTTATGGAAGCATAGAAAATGCTTGATTCCTGTTTAAAAGAACTCCTTTTACACACGTTGGAGGCCATTGCTATTAGGTTGGAGACCATCGCTAGTAGGTTGG